TCTCTCTCTCTCTCTCTCTCTCTCTCTCTCTCTCTCTCTCTCTCTCTCTTTCTCTCTCTTTTTTTCAACGAAGAAAAGAGAGGATACCGCACGTGTTTTCAACGTGACCTGAATTTCGATAAGGCATTGGCTACCAGTCAAACACAAGTCAAAACGTGTCAATTTTTATTTTTATTTTTTATTTTTTTTTGCTTTTTTCATTTTGATCTCCGCTCAGTGATTTATTGACTTTTGTCACGGTTGAAGATTGAAAAAGCAAGGAAAGAATGAAGAAGAATCAATGGAAAAAGGATCTGTGCTTCATAACAGAATTTATTGAAAAATTTGGGAGGAATATGAAATATAATAGCAGTGTATTTTATTTTTAGAATGGGAAAGGAACGAAAAGAACACGCGGAGAGTTATTATCAGAATTGGTGAGATATGAATCCCTGTATAGGGAAGATAAATTTGGAAAAAATATGGAATAAAATGTGCATAATGTAATGATTGATAAAAGAATTAAAAATAACAGAATTAATTTAATATGGATCTATATCACATATAGACAAAAGAGATAAAATGCAATGTATACAATGTGAAGATCAAGAATCATTTCATTCAGAAACAAAAGATCTTTATATTATGATACACTCTGTAAAAAATTATTTGATATTTCATTCGTATTACTCAAAATAACAAAAATTCAAGCAAGATAATGAAAACAAAGTAAGATGAAGGATGATAAGAATTTGTTAATAACAAATGTGATTCATCGTTTTAATTTGAGATAGAATTTAAGATAGAATATCTTAATGTAATTTAAGCTCCATAGTTCTGATTTAAGCTACCAATTTAATCGCTTCAATTACTAAACATTTCTGCTTTATAATAGGAATTGTTACTTACCAGATTTCAATTTAATCCTTTATAATTGGAATATTCTCCTAGATAGGAAAGAGTGGAATTAACAGTTGTTAACAAGCAGATTAGAATCGATACTAAACTAAATAAAAAAAAAAAAATATAACCAACAATACGAATTGTATTATTTTAACTTACACACAGATCCAACACTTCATCTTTATTAGATCAAAAATATTTGTATTTCATCAAAATATGTTTCTTTTTTTTCAGACCTGCCTGAACCCTCATCATCCCTATTTTCTCGAGAACGAAGGGAAGAAAAATTTATAATCGTATCGATATCCCATCGTGCAACAATAAGAATAATCGAGAATAATTTTTCCACGAAATATTCGAGGATGAATATCGAGGAACACGAGCCCCTGATCTTCCCAACCGCTGTGCAACAATTCGCACCGTGAACGAGCGTTGAAAATGCTCGCGAGCTTCCTGTCGAGAACGAGAGCGAAACTTAAGCGGAGCGAAAATTGAAAATGAGAAACTGGTGACTTTGTTGAAAATTTGATATGATTCGGATGAGGGTGGAATCGATGGGCGAAGAAGCAGCGTGAGGAAGAAAACTTTGCTCGTTCCAAGGCAAAGGGAAGGTGTTATAAGTTAGTGCGATCACACGATGCTTCAAGAGATGGAGATCACTTCGGAGAGGGTGATCAAAAATCTGACCAACGTCTCGAACTCGATGAATAACAACGAAACGCTGAGGTACAACGAGGAGTTCGATTACAGCTTCGATCGCGACCAAGTGGAGAAGATAGTGGTTGTGGTCGTTCCAATATTTTTCGGCATGATAGGCATATTGGGACTGGTTGGGAATTCGTTGGTGGTGATCGTGGTGGCGGCTAACCCGACCATGAGATCGACCACGAACATCTTGATCATCAATCTGGCCGTGGCAGATCTCTTGTTCGTCATCCTTTGCATACCGTTCACCGCCACGGATTTCGTGCTACCGTTCTGGCCTTTCGGCAATTTTTGGTGCAAGATGGTCCAGTACCTCATCATCGTCACTGCCTACGCCAGTGTTTATACTTTAGTCCTCATGAGCCTTGATAGGTGAGTCAAATGATAAATCGTTTTCTTTTCTTTCGAAGCAAAAGCTAGGATCGATTTGTCGATTTGATAAATTAGAATTATGCATCGTAGAATATTTCGATTTCAATATTATAAATATTGTAATATCGTAACAACGGAATATCGATTATCAGAATTTTGGTTTTATCCTTTAGATGGACGTCCATTATTCGAATTTTATCCTTTAAATATCGTAATCTGTAGAACGTCATATATTCGAATTTTAATTATCCACCAATCAATTTGATCGTTCCAACACAAAGACACGTATTTTGAAGAATATTTGCTCAATTTCTTTAATTATTTCGCGATGCATTCACAAATT